TTGTTGCATTTGACGCAAAAGTTTGTATTTTATTAAATCATCGACGAACTCTGGATTCGAGAATAACTCATATCAAAGAACTATTCAAAAACTTTGTTTGTTTCCGGAAAAGCATTTCTACTTCATTCTGTGATCCAGGCATGCTTGATCAAGAAATTATTCCAAAGAAACAAGTGTTCTAATATTTTCTTTTCTTCAGATTAGATATTTGTAATTGATGATCTCACCTATAGATACTCGATCACAAAATGATTCCTAAGAAAAAAAATCCAAACATTTTGCGAGGTTCAGAGCAAAGATTTGCTTCTCATAACATTATCGAGAAAGACCTCATCAAGGAATAAATCAATTGAAACAACTACTCAAATATTTTGTTCTATTCAGACTTCAGATCTGAAGTTGATTATACTATTAAGGATAGAACGACCATGAAATCATTCATATCATCCAATTAGTCAAGCACTTTCGTCAATTCAAACCAGAGGCTTCGCAGTTAACTCTCTCGTCGCTCAGCCTACGATCGATGAATGATTCACAAGAAGTAACTGTTCAGATATTATTTTTTCCTCGAAAAGAGCGATTTCTAGTTGTTGGTATCATTGAGGATCACTGGCTTGAGGAATTAATCATAGTATGCGACTATTCAAATACTTTGTTCAATTCCAAACAACAGCCTCCTTTCGATTTCCTCACTGCGGAACACTCAATCAAAGAGAAATTCATACGACAGACCTAATCAAATATTTCGTTCTATCCACAGCTAAGATTTGTCTGTTATTATACTTTCAAGGAACACTACGTCAAAGAACTAATCATACGAAACAGCTAATCAAATATTTCGTTCTATCCGGAGCTGAGATTTGAGTTTTATTATAGCATCGACAAACACTCGATCCGGGTATAGTCTACACGAAACAATTATTCGAATATTTTATAGGATTCTCAATGGATTGTAGTTGCTTATATCCGTCAAATACACTCCAATCAGAGGTGCAGAATCTTCTTCGTGCGCTCCCCGCGCGGGGAGGGGAGGGCGAGTTTTTTGAAAAATTGCATTACTCGGAGAAATTTTGGAAAAAAAACTACTAGAAGGAAAAACTTTGTTCTCGTCATAATTAAATGTTACAGGATATAATTCATTCTTTCGAGTTTTTCGCTTTACTTGTATGCTCTGTTGTTGATCTTGCCAAGAACACACACATTGCTGTCGAAGTATAATATCTTGGCAATTCTTTTTCCACAGATTTCTTTGCACCCTTTTATTGCTTGCTGAACTATATCGTAGCCGAAGGAAGGAATGCTAAGGATTTGTCCAACATGGATAATTCCATTATATGCTAGTTCTTTTCCTATATGTTGTGTTGGTTTTTTTCCCTTTCTCGTGTGTACGTCTATCTATATATACATGTACATCTATTGTTCAGATAGAGACATCTAGGACATATACACCTGTTGGAAATATCCAGGCAACGAATCTAGGCTTTTCCCAACTATTACATATTGGATTTTTTCCAATATGGTATATATGTTCTATGTTAGAATATCCCTACACTCTTGTATTCGTCATGTAGTTGGTTTCTTCCAGCTTGATCAACACATTTATCCTCAAACTACAATGATCTACTTCGCGGAGAATTTCAAGGAAGACCAATCACTCGTAAAATTGCTGAACACGACTTGGATGATCCTACATTCTACTAGAGAGAGGAGTTAGTTGATTTTTGCCAAGCATTGTGTACTTCGATCGACACTCGATTCAAAGAAGCTTCTGCTATATTTGAAACAATGGCAAATTGCCTTGACGTGGCAGTACTCTATCAAAAAAGTCGTTCTGGGCAAAAGGGTGGATATGCTTCAGTATGGACAGTCATCACGTCCAGCTTTACTTGATTTTACGAAGAACAGCTCAAAACATATCAAGATCGACAATATTATACTCAATAATCAATACCTGAAGTGGAAGAAACGATGTTTGAGAGAATTGAAAGACACAGAAAATTGAAACGTTTGGACAAAAGATGATCAAATTTCAACGACTAAAGTGATGAAAACTTTCTTCAAGAACAAAGATCTGGCGAATGGTATTGAACAGTTTCTACATTTCTATTCTCTGATGGTTGTTAAAATCAGAAACGAAGCTGTCTGTGAGAGTGCTGCCTCAATCCTGAAGCAACACATTCGTGGCAATCGAGCTCTGGATCATGAATCCTTAGACAAAGAAGTAATGTTACATTGGAATGCACCATCGCTTCATCTAGCAGATCCATTCATCAAGCCCTGCTTCAACAACTACTTCTTTCAACTGAAGGACAAACACTGGATTTTCTTGAAAAAAAAACAGAACAACATCATCTATTCAAATAAGTTTCACTTGGTTCAGTTGTTTTGAACCGCTTGAGAAAAGAACAAGTAGAAAGAATTCCAATGTTGTACGAACAGTAACAAACAGAACAAAATATTGTCATGGTTTTTTTACTTATATTTTGTGACAAATAAAGTTGGTCTGTTAGTGGCGAAGAAAAAACAGCTTGGGGAAATTTTTGGAGAAAATTTCCGCGCGGGGGAAGGATTTTTTATTTTTTGGAAGATTCTGCATCTCTGACTCCAACAAGGAATAATACATAGCAAACAATTATTCAGATATTTTGCTCACTTCTAACCAAACTTTTCTAGTTGACCATAAGAAAGTGGAGCACTCGTACAACAAATAGTTTATAGGAAACAGCTCTACAAATATTTTGTTCAATCCGAAGCACAGATTTGTGGTGGATTCTATCATGGAGCAAAACTATCAATGAATGATTCATATCAAGCGAGAATTCTAATAGTTTCTTCAATTTAAAGCACAAGTTTTAATAGACTATATCATCGAGACACATGAGTTCAGCGAATGGTTCATAAAAGAAAACTGTTTAAATGTTTTGTAGAATTCAAACGGAAGATCTGTAGCTGATTATATCGTTCACGAACACTCGATCAAGGAATAATTGACAAGAAGTAACAATTCAAGCGCTTTCCACAATTGCAAGCGGAGGTCGATATCTGGTTATACTATCGAAAGACACTCGATCAGAGCATCATAAAGGAAATTAATCTTAAGACAATCTGTTGATTTTATTTCAATTAACGTAAAACCGACGTTATTAGAATTACTTATTTACAATTACAATAATACATGACAATTTAATTTAGAAATGGGTTTCTTCTTCATTGAAATTATACTTAATTCTTCATTTTAGGTCAGCTTTACGACTGAATTACATAGAAGTGAAAATTCATTTAATTCCAAATATTTATTTTCTTTTTATTTCAGCTCATCTCAATAAGGTATATAATATAAGTAAATCTTTTCTTGATTGCAATTATTGTTGTTTATTTAGGTCATTCAGCTGATTAAAAAACTCGATAAAAGCTCTTTTTCTCTATAATTTTCTTTTTTCACTGATGTGTTACAAGTGACTATTTGTAACTTTTTTTTGTTTTCTTTTTGTAATTTTTATAAATTAATAAATAATGTTATACGCATTACTATTGATCAAATGTTATCTTGAAAACTTCCAGCATATAGAAGTGAACAATGGGTCAAATCAGTTATACAATATGCTCTATGAAGCTCTAGAGAATCATACAAGAATCATTTAAGATCTTATACTATCTGGCATAAAGATCATACAAGAATCGTATATTACTATTTTATCAGAAAGGGTGACTTTACAATTGTCATAGAAAAACGTGCAAGATCGTATATGATTTTCGTACGATCTTGTAAGATTACGCAAGATTGTACAGTATGTTCCTATATGATCTTTTAAGAATCATACGAGATCTTATAGTCGGCTTGTTTCATTTGGAAAATTATAATTTATAAATGAAAAGGACACTGACGTTGAGACAGCGAAAAAGCAAAACAAAAATTTTACATGAATTATATTTCGTAAAAAAGGAACACCAATGTTAATATAGCATAAAAGTAAAAGAAAAGGTTTATATAGATCATTATTATAATTTCAATTTTCACTTCGTCTATCATTGTCTTTCTACAGAAGAGCATGGGTCACGGTTGTTTGAGGACGGACATCCAGCGTTACCACGTCATAACGTCAAAATAAAAAGTCAAATATACGAGCAAAAGTCGATTTGGGCAGCCGGGTACAAGGTGTGTCGTACCAAATCAACACTTGCATTTTTCCAATCGAAGAAAAAAAAAACATGCCAACGTGCTACTATTAGGTTAGTAATATTTTTCATTCTCACACATGTACCCCGTGTATGCTTTGAAGGGCTATAGGAAAAAGTTACTTGAGGTATCCAAAATGGTGAATGAAGTATCCAGCTGGTGCTTGTAGCATCACAGATCATGCATGTAACATCTCAGATAATGTTTGTGGCATCACTAGTAATGTTTGTAGCAGTATAGTTGATGCTTGTGCTCTCCCAGGTGATGTCCGTAGCATCTTAGGTGAGAATGATCTGCATTAGATTCATCGTTATAATTCAGATTAAATAGCATTGTTTGCCTTGTGTTTACTCCTACATGAGAAGAGAACCTGTCGAATTCATAAATTATAATTTACATATATTATTTCTTTTGGTTTTTTGTTGTTTTGACAGTGATATCGACTTTTCATTTATTTTCGCAGATATAATAAACAGTTAGGACTACATTTATATTCGCATTCGAATTAGGTAACCCATGAAATAAAATGCGTTTATATGTTTGTATGTTCACACGCACGTGTCGAGTCACGTGTCCACTTGCATTGGAAAAAGTTTAGGGAAGCTATCTAAGATTAAAGCTACATTGTGGTATGACTTCGCTCAATCAGATGACTTTCGTATCCAACTCTTTCGCGATCATGTTTTCTCATGGAGAGAAACCAATTCGAATTAGGGCACATCTTATAAATATTTTTTTCCTTCATTCCACTTATTAATGAAGTATGCTTGCAATTTATGATTAATAATATTTTATTTTCATTTAAATACAACAAAAAAATGTTTTATTGAACTTTATTTTCTAATATACTAATGTGTTGTGTATTTATGTTGCATCGTATAGTGAATGTTTTAGGATAAACAGATGTTGCTGTTGGTCGTAATAATAAAATTCTTTTAATTTTTTTTCGAAGTTCCGGTAATGACAAGATACAAACAAAAGGAAAAAAAAGTATAACTAAATAACTAAAGAATTCTGCATATATTTTAACATTACGACCAATATTATATGTTAAACCACATAGATACATGAGAATCATAATTGTATTTGGAAATGAAAATATCAAATAAAGAAATGATATTGATAATAATTGAATTGCCATTTTTCGATGTTTTCGCCATTGAATTCGTTGATGTACACGATGTTTTTGTCTAAGAATACGCGAAAGTAAAGCAATACTAGCTATCACAATCATTAAGTTTGGTAATATTTGATGAACTATAGTTTCCCATATGTAAAAAGCATAATTATCATATAAACAATTATCAATACATAGTGCAGCATTATATAGAACGGCATGTTTACAAAATGGAAAGAAATAGACAAGACTATAAAACATAAGACAATACAGCATAAGTAATATTAAAGGAAGATAATGAATAAAAAAACGTTTCTTTCTTGTTGCAACCCATAGATCATGAAAAATAAGAATATGTCTTTCAATGGAAGTCCAAGCGAAGATTATTGCTTGAGTTATATAGAATCCCCAGTCAATAAATCCCCAAATCCTACACAAAGTTAATGTTCTATGCCAATGATTACCATTTTTATAGAAATAAAGCATCCATGGATAAATAGTCACTTGGCAAATAAGACAAATAAAAATAAGAACAATAATTGTATGATTGTTAAGACCACGACGTAAATTTTTATCGAGAAGAAGATAATAGAGAACAAACAATGAACAAATTATTGATGGAACAAGAATAACAAGATAAATCCAAAATTTTATTGAAGAATGTAGTACATTCATATCATTGTTGAATGAACTCATATTATTGAAACTTGTAGTGTTACTAAACATTCTTTACCTGAAACACACTATTAAGAAAAATAATAAATGAACTCAAAAGTCTCGTCATCATCGACAATGGTTGAAATCATAATTTTTCTTTTTATCATTCTACATTATTTCAACAATGAATTACGCATAGTCAGCTTGTTCTCAATGATTTATATCAAAAGAAAAAAAATTCTATTTGTTTTTTTCGATAACAGATAACTGAAAGTGATAACAATATCAGATGTTATTTTGTTAAATTTTACGCTTAGATAATCTGAATGATGAACATTATTGATAAGACATAATAGTAGTTGAAACAAAAAAATTCTCTAGTCATATTCATTATTCATTCAGTGGAATTTGTTGAGTTTGAACTTTGATAAAATAAACTAACGAATCATAGTCATTTCACTGAAGTTAGTTATTTTAGAACATAGAGCTTTTTGTGACATACGATCTGAAAGGAGTTTTAAGTTTATAATAATATCTCATTATAAAACATGAATGACTTTGTTATTGCATATCTGGATGATTAAGTAAAAGTAAGATGAAAAAAATGTGTCTCAAAATAGATAGAATAAAAGAATCATCCTATGATGTATTTTATTATGCTTCAACTATATGGATAAAATTAACCTAAAAAGAAACGAATAAATTGATTGTAATATGGAATCAACAATATGAATGATTTGAGAATTAAAATACACTGCTTTTTGTAGAACTGTAACTTTGATGAGCTGATATCTATTTCAAACATAAAGATTTAAAAAGCAAAAATAAACATCTACTACATTCTTTACTGATGTATGCAATAGAAAGGTATCAAGAAAAACTAAAATATTATATTATTTGACTTCATATAAATCATAAAATTCAATAATCCATATTAAATTATCATTATTTATTTTCATACTAAAAACTAACTCGTAAACTATTATGTTTATCAAAAACAAAAGGAAGAAAAAGAAATAAAAAGTTAATTAACCTGAGGAAATTATCCCTGTTACAAAAAAAAAAGAAAGAAAATTTTCAAAATATCTGAACAAAAAAATAATAATAATTATTATTATTATTGTTATTTGGAATTATTAGATCGTTTTGTTGGCGATGTTTTTCGATTACTACCTTGAGCTCGCCTATTTCCACTATTTGATGCTGACATGGGTTGAGAACTGGGTGGCGGTAAAAATATTGATCGTAAACTTGGATCAGCAATACCAACACGATATGGATTATGTAATGATTGTGATTGAGAACTTCCACTTGTTATTTGAATTTCAGATGAAGTCCAAAGAGGTTTTTTCGATGAAATATTTGATTTTTTAGGAATTTCATCATCACTTAAAGCAATTATTTCATCATCACTATCATCAATTATTTGACTATCATCATCTTGATTATTGGCTTGTTGAGATGAAGATGGTGCCGTTGAGGTCTAGAAAAATAAAAAAGTACATTTCGTTTCTTTTTATTTGTATGATAATTGATTCAAAGATAGAATATGTCGGAGAGACAAGCAGCGAAGATTTCCAACTTGAAGTCTACTATTTTCCAATCGTAATTTCTTTAGTTGTCATTTGAAATTTGACTGAAACATCAGTATGAAATATATTTCGGGATACTTTTCTCGATTATGTTACTAACGACAAATTCCTTATAAATCGTATTTTTGATGGATATTTTCATAGATAGTTAACCGCAAAAAAAACGAAAATTTTTAAAAGACTTTTTTTGTCTGTAGAATCCCGTAGAACTCGTTGCGTTGACCATTTTGATTTTAAAAAATGTTCGAGTTTATTCAATAAACCGTAGTGCTTGGCCCAGAACACTTGAAAATGGTAACTATGGCTAAGCAACAGACAGAAATAGCGGAAGTTGTTGAGTATTTTAACCCTAACACCCTGATTTCTTGGATAAATTTGAGCATTTTTTTAAGGAAAGGATCAGCACAACGATCTCTACAAAGAATAAAATAAATCTTCTAAGAGCCTTGCGGTTTTTGTTGTTGATTATCCATGAAAGTAACCGTCACATATACAATTTGCAAGCATTTTGTCGATAGTAGACAGTAGAATGGATGTGGATAAGTCTTCAGTTCAACTACATTTTCATTCCACTTTGTGTTATCATGTTCAAGTGTTGTATTAACGTATCATACTTAGTGATGCATGTCAAATAAACTCATCATTGCTAAAAGCTAACAAAAAACCTTGAGACTTATCAAAAAAACAAATTTTAATTGCTTCAGTATGAACACTCAGAAAAAGCTATGTAATATCTTTAAATCTCATCATAAAACGTATAAATAGTAGATAACCTATAATTCATTAGCTTTTGGTGAGAAAACAATTAATCAATAGAAAATGTTCTCCCTTGAGAACGATACACATGTATTTTTCTTATTTGACAAGATGTCAAATCTCTTTTGTATGGCCGATAATAATTGTATTTGTTTGCATTATTGGTATGAATTAAAAAAAACTTCTATTAGTTATTAAAAATTAGCTCATTTGAATAAATTAAAGTGGACATACTTGAGTTTTTTATCAAAGTATTATTTATGACTCATACTGGAGAATATATTTACCATTGCTATTTGACTTTGTGTATCTGTTGCTGGCATTGTTGTTTCATCATCATCAACTAAACTAACAATTTCAGTTTGTTGTTTGTCATTATTATTATTTTGATCTTTTGTTTGTTGTAATCCATCTTGTGTTGTTTCATCAAGATCAAGTTCAATAAGTTCAATTGGTTCATCATATGTAGAAGGTGAAAAACGAACAGTACGTTTTGCTGGTGTTTCAACAGATGTAGTTGGTGCTGTAGCTGCTTCTTTTCGAGCTTTTTGTTTCGCACGACGTTCCCATGCAATATCAAATTCTTCATCTGATGAATCATCATTATTATTATTATTATTATCAAAATATACAGATGGTTTAGATTTTTCTGTAGATGTTGCTGGTACTGATTGATTTGTTGTAGTTGAACTAAAAATTTTATTTGTTATTATTATTTTTTTTCAAAAAGAAAGAAAGAAAGAAAGAAAGAGAAAATTATACTTTGTAGATGGTTGTTCATCATTTGATTGTTCATGATTCGTTGATGTTAAACTAACTTGTGAAATTGTTCGTTTTGGTCCAAATGGTTTCCATGAAAGATCACTTTCATCTTCTTCAACATAATCCATACCTAATTGTGTTTCAGTATGTTCAATATTTGTAAATGATCTTGAACGTTTAAATGCATCGATTTGCGATCGTCGTTTAGCACCAGGTATAATTGAAGTATCTAATACTTGTACAGCTATTGGCTGTGTTGCTTTACGTTTTATTGTGTCAGTTGATAGAGCTGGTGTGCGTGGTGCTTGTCTTTGTCCTGGATGGATTCTTTCACGTGGTTTTACACGAATTCGTGGTCGTTTGTCATCATAGATATGTTGTTCAAGTGATGAGTATGTTGGTGAACGGCGTAATGCTTCAAGAATTTCATCACGAAGATTTTCTGTGTCACCATTTATTGATGGATTATTTGTTAATGCATCACAGATATCATGTATACGACCAAGTTCACGATCAAATTTTCGTTTATATTCATCTAAATCATCATGAATTTGATCAATTGTTTGACGATTGATCATATTATTATTATTTGCTTGTAAAGCTTTACATGATAGTTTCATAATATTACTTTTTAAATCTCGTGTCCATTTAAGTAATTGATCGAGTTTAGCACGTAAAGTTTTTTGTTCATTTGAATAAGCACGAAAACATCCAGGACTTCGACTAGATGTTGTTGTCATTGTTACAAGTTCGAAATAAACACTAAAACACCAACGAATTTTGATTTTTCGATGTTCGAATAAAATAAATAAATGATTGAATAATAGTGAGTAATATTAAATGATTGCATAAACCAATGAACAATGCGAAGTATGCCTTTATAATAAAATTTCACTAAGTAAAAAGAATTATCTATTTAAGAAGTTGAAAGAAGCTTTTCAAGCAAAATGCCACAAGAAATTTGAATCTTAAAAGTTTTTAAGGGAAAAGTTTGTATGATAGAGAACGACATCTATTGAAATCAAAATTATCTTTTTTCTTGTATTTAAAGCATCCTAACTAAAAGTAGATGATTTGAAGTATAAATCTTTTTACAACAGTGTTTTATGATTTATAATAAGATATGAAAATAGAACCAATATCAATGATTTCGGCATATGGATTCGTGAATTTCCAACAGTTTTCATCAGAAACTGCTTGTATTGCTTGACGTGCGAAATAGTTGCTTTTCGTTATTTTATTATTCTGAAAACATGTTCGTTTTAGAAATAATTTATTTCAGAGACAAACAAAGATATTTCAGATTTTTCGTTTTGCTTTTGTGTCATATACACATATACACAGAGAATCGTTGAATCAAACAGTTTTAATCTGATCTCTATAAATTTTTTTCAGAGATCTAGTTCATAATCCTGTTAATTCTGGTCTGTATCCAACCCGGCTTTAGGAAAACTATTTAGGAATATATTAGTATTATATCTAACAAATATCTTGAATCTTTGTACTTTGATTAATTCAGCCGACAGATGATGTTTTTTTTGATCATCTCTCCTGAATTTAGCGTCTATTTTACGTGATTAATAACATAAATCCCTAAAAAACATAGAAAAACTACAATTTGCCCTCGTAGTCCCTGGAGCGAGGCTAGAGCTAAAGTCGATCTCGCGTATCTGTAGTTATTTTATATTCTTCTATAATTTCAATTGAAGACCTTGAAAAAGAGACATTGTTTTGCATGACATTATACATAAGAAGTCTTGCCATATGAATATAAGTCCGATGATACTCGCTGACGAAAAGTGTTTTCAATAGACTTGTTTACTGTCACATATGTCAATCATACTGATTTGCAATAAGTAAAGACAGTGTCTGACTAGTTAGATGAAATAAAACATCAGCTTAGTTACCAAGTGTAAGATACTCGCATTCCGATTCGCAATGAAAAGTCAGTTTTTTTTTGTCGTTGTTTTTTATTTATAGATGTTCTTTTTTTACCCAAATCTCAAAATAATTAGTTACGATTGAAGAATAATCTTTTGTTGTACTTTTTCAACATCTGATTATTAATATCCTAGATTTCGCTATTAAACTATAATTATAGGTCACTCAGTTCGAATCTTCTGATGAATATAATCATGATGATAGATGACTTTATTTTTAACTTTTAAGGAATATATTCTTTTATTCACAAAGAATGTTTTTTTTTCTACAGGAAATGACAGGTTACATAAAAATCAAAAGTTTTTTCAAATATATTAATTAACGCAACGAAGCATGTCTCGGTGTAATTACATTGATCATTCTTTGAAGCCTAGGTAATCGTTTCATTTTCTTTCTAATTTCAGGTAATGAACCAAGACAAACAAAAGGCATTAAAAGTGAAACAAAATGGTATAGATAATAAGCATAAAATTCAAATTGTCCTGTTGAACCATTTGGTAAACCGCATACATGAGCTAAAACAAGACTGGTCATAGGAAAATTAAAAAGAAGAAACAATGCTGTTATTGATAAAATTTGTATAGCCATTCGTCGATATTTACGCCAGTGAAAACGTCTATGAAGAGTATGCTTTTGTTTAATAACACGAATAATTAATGCAATACTAAATATAGTAATAATTGGTGTTGGTATGATTGAATTAGCTATTGTATCATACATAGCCAGACTGGCGCTGTTATAATAACATGGATAAAGACACCAATCTAATTCATATGCATACATATTCTCACATGAAAATATTGAAAGAATAATAATATAATAAATGAAACCATAGAGAACTATTGTTAAAAGTGGAAAATAATGAATAAACAAACGTTTTTTCTTTGTCGATAACCATCGTTCATGAAATACTAAAATATGTCGTTCAATTGATGCCCATGCCATAACAATATTTGTTAGATTAGAAATACCTGTTGCTGCAAACCACCATATAAGACAACTGATTGTCGTTGATGGCCAAACATAATTTATACGTAAATAATTAAGATAAAATGGTATATCAATTAATTGAGAAAAAAGTCCAATAATAAGTAGAACTATAATAACATGATTGCCTAATGAATGTCGTAAACGACGATCAATCAATAAATAATAAAGAAGTATCATTGAACAGGCCACGGATGGAACTTCAAAAATCATAAGCAACCAAAAACGAACAGTTTTAGGTAATAAAAATTCTGGATAATCATTAGACTGTGTTTGATTTTCATCATTGTTTTTCGAATGATTTTCATCGAAATAATTTTTATTCATCATGAATTGTAGACACAAATATTTTCTTTATGTTATGGTTAAATCTAAATATATAATTTGAATATGGAGTATCGGTTATAAAACTAGATTAAAGAGTATTTTTCTTCTTCTTTTTTTCTATATTATATGCTTATAGAAAAAAATTAGAAGAAGAACAATCTTCATTATTCCTGGTTTTTGTTTAATATTCATCCTATTCGAAACTGATCATGCGAAAAACAAAAGTAGCATATGTAATTTTTCTTAATTTTACACAAGTACATCTTCGTATTCTTGTTAACGATAAGAAGTTCATGAGTTCTCTACTGTTTTCAATTGAAATCTAGTTAAGCTAAGACATTCTAGAATCTACAAGTTTTCTCAAGTGACATCTAATTATGTTAGGAGTGCTGTAGAGTTAGCATAACATTTTTTTGACTTCAACACAATCTCAAGATGATCCGACCAAAAAGAAAAAGAAGAATGTTTATTTATTGTATCAATAATACGACTCATCTTTAACCGTTCTTTACCTTCCAATTCACCTTTTATCAATATGTAGTGATGATATTTCTTCATATGGCTTTGTTATACTGAAAAGAGAATATTATTCTTAACTTTTCTCTATGAAATTAGAGATGAAAAAATAATAGATTACATTAACAAGAGAACATTGTCGGATACAAATTTTCTTTTATGTTTAACCTATGCGCATTATATAGATCCTAATAAATTATTATTATCTTATAAAGAGTTCATATTAATAGGTTGTTAGTTGTAAGATATCAAGTTTTTAGTATATATTCCTTCGAAAAACTTCACATTTGCATTATTTTCTGTAACAGACAAAAATATAAGGCACTTCTAGTTTTTTGGCGATTGTTTTTTGTTAGCGAAAAACAGAAACAATTTTAAAAAATATTACTTGTTATAATAAATTAATACTATTTATTACAAGTTAGAGAAATGTTTTATTATAGATTTTGATCTTTATGTATTCCATTCAAAAGAACATTGAAAACTGAATGACACTGCATTTTTTATTATACAATAACGCTTTCGAATAGGATTTTTTTGACACTACTTAAAATTTAATGAATATTTTATTAATCATCAAGAGAAGTGTATTTTAAGCACAGAATTGTGAATTTTAAAAAAATACTGCATTTTGTAGTGCAAACTTTGTTTTAATGCAATAAGATTTGGCAGTCTTCTGTACAATGTGTTCATCATTTAATGCAACTCTATTATTTTTGAACACTAATGTCAATGATGATTTTCAGCTATTTTTGCTTGCTCCATATCTTAAAATTTTCAGAGTATTATATCTGATGATGGACACATTACGTAGAGGAGTGCAGGATCTAATTTGACAAAACAAGCTGTGCTGTACAAAATGCATTATCTTGTAAAGATCTTAAGTCCATGTTTAAAACTTACCATTCTTGAGCATTAATAATGTACTAATTAAATTTTACATAGTGTTTAAAAAAATCTTATTATGAAGTCTTATTCAAAACAAACATACAGTGTTATTCAGTTTTTGATACCTTTTCTAACAATAGAGTGGCAGACACAGATCTGAACAGTCAACTCAGAACTATGAAAGATTCTCCTCAAGTAAAGTCAAGTCAAGTGAGGAATATCAAAAATTTTCTTCAAGTCAAATCAAGTCAGACTTGTCTTATTTAGCTCTGAAGGAACATGAGTTTAGAATAGTTGTATTTTTTAACCTTTATTCTCAAGAGTGATAACTAGCAAGACTCGGAAAAAAACACGTGTGCAGTTGAAAGAATTCTCTATTATGATTGAAAGGTCCAAAGACTTCGGCAAAACTTCTTGCATGATGGCTTGTAGAAAAACAATATCCCTAAAATCAGCTTTCTGGCTTCCATTCGAAGCTTTTAGGAAAAGATTTTATTTTATAGAGCAAATGATTGGGAACAAGATGAGATGTCTTCGATCTTTCTATGACATTTCTTTATCGCAGTGCATTAAATTTACAGAAGGTTCAGGAAGCATTTTTCTCTTCTTTTTCTTGAAAACTTTAATATTTTTCCCATGTTTGACACTTTGAAACCTTCTGTGAATAAAATGCAACTCGACGAGCGGAGGTCATAGAGAGATCGGAGACGTCTTATCTTGATCAAACTTATTTGTTCTATCAAATAGAATTTTTCACAAAAGTTTCGAACAAAACACAGAGAACTAATTTTGGATGTCTTAGTTTCTACGGATCCTCATCCAAGAAGTTGTGCTAGAGTATTTAGGCCTACCAATTCGGATAGACAACCATTCCAGCTACACAAATGTTTTTTTTTAGATTTCTGCCAGCTATTACCATCGGGAAGAAAGCTAATGTAATACTGCTGCTCTAAACTGTTCCCGTCACTATACGTTTGAAGATCAAAATTTATAACAGAGCAGTTCTTTAGTTAGTAATTAATAACATTTTGTATAATAAAATATAGCCCTTTTAATTCTGCATGTAATGATGTATTTTTGAACATTCTCTCTATTTTTTGATAATGATATAACTACCAATATGCTAAAAGTGTCCTGAGCTTTTGCAACTTACTTTAGATAACAGTCTGAACATGTAGCAATGAATGCTTTGCTTATTCAATGAAAAACAAAATACGTACGTGCTATGATTCTATTTTACGACGTGCGTTTTCCCACTAGTGAATGATCGTTATTTCTCTTACTATTTTCACCATTTTGAAACTGTTTATGGCACCTTTTCTGCGAATCTGAGAAGTTCCTCATATGACTTTTTTGTATGGGAATGAAAATTAGCATTTAGTTTTCAATATTTTAAGGTGTATTTCATATTTTTTGCACTTAATTCCAAGCATAATTTCCTTAAGTTAAATTTATCTTAAGGTATATGTATTATATGACGGTATTTAAAAAGTATTTGATGACACAAGCGATATTCGAAATGTTCACAGAGCTTCATAATCTAATGTAATAAGATTATGGATTTTTTTGAAAAATAAAAAAAGTCCATTACTCCAATGATAATATCTCATAATGTAACTGACTACTTTGTCAGATGAATTTCAGAAAACATCTGTCTGCAACGAATATATTCTAATATAAACAACTTTCGCTGATATTAACAAATTGTGTGCATAATCAAACATATTTCATTTTTTCAAGCGTCAACAATACAAAACACAAATTGTAGAAATGCATTTCAAAAACATTTTGTTTAGTGGCACGAACAAATGCAAGGATAAACGCATGCAAAAAATGAATTCATTTTTTCTTGGAGAAATTACAAAAGAAGATGGCTCATGTTTGAAATTCAATGTTTCTATCATAAGTTTAACAAGAATTCAGATGAGAATATTAATAAAGGATGAGTGAGCATAGGAGCGCATTTCGTCCTCTTTCGACTTTTAACACACTATCTAATGGAGACATATATGAAATGAAAGACTTAGAGCTTCTAATTATTCTGATGTTAAATTCACAATATTTTGATTCAATTATACGTGTCAACATGATCTATCTTTCCGAAATACAAAAGGAACACTTATTTTGTTAGCTCCTTCTCCAGTTTTTCATTGTTTTCATATTGAGTCTGACATACTTATGTGCATTTCATTTTGTCGTGTAATTATTGTGTCAATCAAATCTCTTCCAGACCTAGTTAACTACGTGATCAATAAGAGGTTTTCAAACGCTTAAAAAGAGAAGTACTTTGTATAGTCGAAAATCAATTGACATATATTTCAATCTTGTTTTGCAGCTTTTTTCTGATGAAATATCTACTTCTGGTCCTCCTCGGAAATACGTGGAAAATGAATTGATTAAAAAAAAGTAATTGCGACAGTGACAAGCAAGCTCTAATTTTCTAAAATGCTTTCGGAAGACAAAAATACGGGAAACTTAACAGCGAAGTAATTATTTTGATTAAATTCGTTTTTCACATATTCCTGAGCAGAGACCTTGAATAAACAATTTCATCAGAAAAAATGCCCCAAAAAAAGTTTGAAACGCACATAAGTTGGCTGAGTTCTGTCTGCTGATTTCAAATACGATATTTGTTTAAGGTCAAATAGGTATTCTTCTCCATGAAAGTCGTTAAGTGTTAGTCGAACAAGTATGAAAATTGAGCTTCATAGATATTATCTTTAGGATTTTGTTATGAGGACCACTTCTTTCGGCTATACGACCTAATTCTTTTTTTAGCGTTTGAAAAGCTCTTATTGATCACGTTGTTAACTAAGTGTGGAAGAAATTTCATTAACATAATAATTAAACAACAAAAGGAAATACGCTTAAGCATTTCAAACTCAATATGTAAACAATAGACAATATATGTATACGGTACAGGAGATTGAAAATATTATTTCAAATGAATGGTTCTTTTATGAAAATTTAACATAAAAAAAGCCCTAACAGAATAACTTTGAATCACTGCTATCTAGTGTTAGTAACTAACTGTTCTCTTTGTATTCCGTAAAGACAGACACTGTTGACACGTATAATTGAATTAAAATATCTGGAGTTTAACATCAAAATGATCGGAAAGCTCATGATCTTTCATTCTATATATGACTTAATTAGATACCGTATCTAAAATCAAGCGAAGACGACATGCATTGTTGATTGGATTGTCATAATCAGTTTCCTACAAAACAGAATACAAGGATAAGAAAAGCATATCTATGTACTTATGAAATACAGAGAAGTATCGAGAAATATAAAAAAGTGTCGAGCAATACCAAGAAGTACCCCGAAGTATCAAAAAATACCAAGAAGTATAGAAATGTTTACAAGAAAATAACACAGCTTTTGTTAGTTTCAGATATTTATTACAAAGCAAAAGTAAAGAAAACTACAAGAAAATAAACAGCATCAAATATGTCGTTGTTGGATACAAAAAGACGGAAATATATGTTTTAAAAACTTAATTTTGTTTAAATTTTTCTATTTCCCATCAATGATAGATTAATTTAATTCATTCCGTATGTCACTTTTATATTACCTATTTTGTTATCATGCACTGA